CGTGAAAAAAGCAATGTGGGGGAGGGGGAGGTTAAAGGAAGTTAGAAAAGTTAAATGGGGATGAACATTATCGTTTCATTGTGTGTGTGTGTGTGTGTGTGTGTGCATGTATTCCCAAGAATTAAGAAAAAATAATATTTAAAAAGACCAGAAGTTTTGGTAAAACCAGATATGTCACATGCACTGAAATACTTTTCTTTTGGTTGAGGAATGGACAGGCCCCACAGCCCTTCTGGAAAAAGGGATGAAAAGTGAAAAGTGGAGGCTGGGTTGGAGCATTTGGAGAGGAGTTCATAGCAGCTCTCCCTAGGACTCAAGTAGCTGCCTCTGCCTCTCTTGGTCTCTCATCCTAACCTGGGCAACATTTATGAGTCATGATTTTATGGATACTTGTGATTTTAAATACCGATGAGCTTGTGAAGAGAAAGGGTCTTTTTTTTTTAACCTCACATCAATCTACATAAAAAAAATAATAGAATGGAATTGGAATTACAGTACTATCTAAGAGATTGTGAGGCCTCAAAACAGCAATCAAGAAAATCAGCTCGTTTAAGAACTTTACCAAGCTAATCAAGCACAGCCCCAAAGAAACTCTGAAACATCTATATAATTATGTATATATTTACATGGGAAAATTTGCTTTAGTCCATGCCTCTCAAATGAGATAACCAAACCCCCAGTGTTCTAAAACATATGTGTATGCAATTTATTTTATCTATCCCAGCTTGGAGATAGATCATTTAAAATGTTACTTCTGAAATTGGAAATACTCTAGAGTGGAACTTGATTGAGCTCACATCTTAATATTATGTTCTAAATAAAGTGTCTGTTGAGAGCAGTTCTTGTTCTCTGAATGTAGGGCAAGGGGCAGGGGACAGATTTTTCCCATTTACCAAGAGTGTGTGCAATGAAGTATTAACAAGTCATGGACTGATCTTCAGATATGTCAGGTGAGGGATGTCATGTGACTTGCTGACAGTCACTGGGGAATGGAACATCTGTCAGACCCCCATATTCTACATCCTAACCTGCTACCCATTCTAAATATAGAGCATGCTACCCATAAGTGAATGTTTACATTTAGAAGAGACTAAGAGAGCCCTGGGGATGGTCCAGCTACATGTCTTTTATCTTAGGCCCTGACTATGAATTCTAGCAACTATCCCCATTCAAAATCAAAACAAGGTTTGGTTGGCTTACCTGTCCAATTTCATTTGCTGTGTCACCTTTGGCACCTACTTGAGCAAGTGACAGGGAAGTAGAGAGACATATTGGAGAGAAGAGAATGTTTCCCGTGGGCTCCTTTTCACATAGCTGTTTGAACAAGTCAACAGCAAAAGCAGAATTTGCCAGTCTCAGGGAGTCCATCGTGGGCCTGGAACCAAGCACATAACTTAATTTCCAACGTAAAATGTGTTCTCAGCTACATCCTGCCAACTGCAGTAAGAAATGTACTTCAGTGAAGCAATGATCTAGGGCAGGAGACAAGAAGAAACTTTCGGTAAATTCCAAAAGAACTGCAGACATGAAGAAACCTCAGGGCAAATGTCTTGAGGCGCATGATGCCTTCTGTGTGTGCTGTTCTCATTGTGGCCAGCATCTGGTGCCCAGCCCTGGCGCCACTTCCTCAGCAAGCAATCAGAGCAACTGATGCCATTAGAAAAACTCAGTCCGCTTTATAATCACATATTTCAGTTACTATTTTGGTTAAATTAGACAAAATATCTATTTGTATATCAAAAAGTAATTGTAGCAGTTTTATGATATTATATTTAATAAGTGTATAATTTTGTTCTAAAAATACACTGGATTCCTAAATTTTTTTCTTTTTGGTTTTTCAAGGCAGTGCTTCTCTGTGTAGCTTTGGAGATTGTCCTGGAACTAGCTCAGTAGACCAGGATGACCTCAAACACACAGAGATCTGCCTGACTCTGCCTCCCAATGCTGAGATTAAAGGCGTGCACCACCACTGCCCAGCAAATTCCTAGTTCTTAATATCTATGAATTTAGCTTTGTTTGGAAGGAGGGTCTCTGCATTTTAAATTAGTTAAAATGGGGTCATACTGGAGTTAGGTGGAGGCTAATCCAATGTGACAAATGTCTTTCTAAGAATAGGAAAGAAAATATAGATACGGAGACACAGAAATGAAAGATAACCTGTATACATACAAGGAGAGCAAACTGCTACATAGCTTAGACAGGATGTGTATGCTGAGGTCCGAGAGACAGTTTTAGTACTCAGGGTCAAAGGTTTCCTTAGCCAGGACCCATAAATGTCTTAGAGTCAAGTACAAGGACAGGATCACAATTTTCATCTTAGACCTAAACAGATTACAAATGCAAAGACAAGAGAATAAAATCAAAAAGTGGATTCCTGGTTCAGAACGGTGTTCAGATTTCTCTTTATAGGGCTGTATGTAGAGTGACTCAAATAGATCATAATATTCCTGAGAATCTGAAAATCACAGTTATTAGCAAAAGAAAGCCAAAGTTGAGCCCACTGGTGACCACCAGTCACATTTCCTGACCTCCCCACCTCCCCCACTGGTGACCACCAGCCACCCCCTGCCCCCCTCTTCTCACTTGCTCGCTCGTATGCACGCACGCACACACACACCCTGCACTGGTGACCACAAGCCATTCTCCCTTACATTGTCCTTCTGCTTATGCCTATGATAAGTATAGCAAGAGCACACAGGTTTGTGTGCCTATTACAAATCTATCACAGGGCACCTGAAACTTATGGTGGGCATTTATGCTTTTTTAAAAAGCCATTAGTCCTATTCCTGCTCTCAGATGGGACCATGACATTGTCACCCTGCATAAAGGCTGGCCAGTGTGAAGTGAACAGAAATCAGCAGAATCCTCTGCTGTGTGTCTGTGAAGGGCTTGGAGCCATCTGCCCACCACGGGAGAGCATATGAGAGACTCCTGACTCCAGGTTTAGAAAATATATGTGAGAGACTTGGAGAATAGAATGTCAGGCAGGCTTCCTCTAGCAGCGTGTTCCACAACCACAGCTCGACCTGAGTTGTGTGGGAAATGAGGAACTGTGTCCTCACCAAACAGAGAAACCTAAAGTCAGATCCCCACAAACTGTTCAATACTTCCTCCAGGAAGCATGTCAGAGTGTCAGGAGATGTTCACTCTGCCGTTCCTTAGTTCCAGCATGCTGAGATCCATTCTGCCTAAATGACTCTGTGCATAGACTCACTCAACTTTCAATAAGTCTAGTTACAATACTAATACAAGTGCTGTATTACAATGTGAGGCTTGGATCCCGGTTGTGGTTGTTAACTATAAATGGATGCACACTTGACAGACGGCATGGCTCCATCAGCACAGAGAACCTTCCTCTGCATGGTGGGCCTTGAAGTCCAAACCCACATGTCTGCCTGACAACTGGCTCCTTGTTCTGAAAATCTCCTTGGCTGTGAAGAAAGGGAGCAGTCTTTACAGCGCAGCCATCGGATGCAGCCCAAAGGTATCAAGTGTAAGGTCTGCGTATGTATGGAGAGCGTTGTAGTGGTGTGATGGTTCATCTTCACTGTGAACTAGTGTAATTTAGAGCCCCATGGAAGCAAACCTCTGCGCATGCCTGTGAGGTGGTCTCTAAGGTTAATTAAGATAGAGGGCTACTCTAACTATGGGTGGCACTATTCCAGGGGCCAGGGCCCCAGACTGAATGGAAACAGAAAGCAAGCTGAGCATAGGCGTCAGTCATGCTGTTTCCTGACTGTCCCCCGCTCGTCCCACCCTGCGGTCCCCTCCCTGTCACGACGGGTTGTGTCTTCCGCAACTGACAGACAAAGGAAGCACACCCTGCCTTCAGCTGTTCGCCTCACATATGTTGTCACAGCGACAAGACAGGTGGCACACCGCCACCAGTTAGGAAATCAACCAACTATCAAATGGAAAATCACACCAGTGGCTCTGCGATTTGTCCTGAGTGACCTGAAAAACAGTGTAAAGCTGCTGTCCTCTGAGGGAGCTGGAGAGAAGACTGAGTACAGCCAACAGGCGCCTCCCTGTGTTGTAAGACTATGAATTTAAGCAAATCTCAGACATGTGGACAGTAACACCCAGAAAAAAGTGTGAAGTTCCTACATAGGTTGTTTTGCACACGCAAATTCTATTTTAAAACTTGTAAATTCCAAATCCAGATGAATAAGCCCCATATAATAAGTTTACATGATTAAAAATTTGTATTCAAAAATGCTAAAACCATTTCAATTGTTTCCACCTTTTCATTGCCTCTGTACAGGATTGTCTTCTTCGATTTTCATGAAAATCCAAGGATCAGTTTTTTTAAAGATACTATTCAGGCTGGAGAGATGGCTCAGTCATTAAAGGTTGGGCTCACAACCCAAGTTTTTTTTTTTTTTTAAAAAAAAGACAAAAAAAACAACATTATTCTATTTGACTCTAACCCAGAAAAAAACCTTCACCTTTCATACCCACATTGGAATAACTTTCATCTTGACAGGAGGAAGTCAGATGACTCCACAAGCAGTAACACAAATACAGTTTTCAAAAATTTATAGCCCTTTGACTAAGGGTGAACCCCTAACTAGTGAAACAACACCAGCCTGGCCAGTCCTGAAACCATAAGCATCCGAGCGGCACTGAGGACTATTCAGTAGTCTGTACTTATATGTTTATGTGTTTATAAAAATACGTGACAATAATAATCAAAGAAAAAGAGGTTGTAAATTTGAGGGGAGGTAGGAGGGGCTAGCAGGGGTGGGACAGAGGAGGAGAGGAAAATGATGTGATCATGTTTTATCTTAATTAGTTTTTTTCAGTTGTTAAGGAAAATGAGAACTGAAAGTCAAGAGCCTTGTTTCTGCAATTCTGTGGTGAGGTATTGTACAATCATAAACCTTTAACTTGGGATAAGATCTACCCTGGCCCCACCTCTTCATTTAGAAAACGGGTGAAGTGAAGATGGAGAGATTCTCCCAGGCCTCCCACACAGGGAGTGAGAGTAACAAGGCCAAACCTAGAATTCATTCCTTTGGGATCCCAGCCCAGCTCCTCCCCGCCACACCGCCTCACCTTCTTTCTTCATAATTGGGTTTTTGCTCACATTTAACTTTTCTGAAGTTTCTCAAGTTCAAAAGATACTGTATTCTTAATAATCCCCTTCAAAGATACCAAGATTTCCTCTGTGTGTAGAAAATATGTTGTTTTTGTTTGGGTCTTGTGGTTGTTTCTTCGGTTGGTTGATTTTCCTACTTGAAGGAATTTTCGCTCTTTCTGCATCTGATGTTTCAAGCTGTCTATGTTTTGATATTTCATTCTATAAGCTGTAAGCACCTAACTCAAGCCAGGCAGAAGTAGGCAGTAAGAATCCCAAGGTGGGGGCTGGAAAGATGGCTCAGTGATTAAGAGCACTGACTGCTCTTTTAGAGGACCAGGGTGGTTGACAACCATCTGTGATTCCAGTTCCAGAGGATCTAATGGCCTCTGTGGGCACTGCATTTATGTGGCACACAGGCATACATGCAGGAAAAACAAATAATATAAAAATAAATGAAAACAATTGAAAAAAACAAAGACATTCCCAAGGTGCACATATCCTAGCTTCTGCCTCTACCAAGCATCAGATAGTGGCCCAAGTGATAGCATGTATCAGTTACCATGGGAACCCTGAAAGCACCTCACCCCTAGCAAAAATCTCAGAGACACTTCAGAGAAGCACTGACAACAAAGTCAGTCACACTAAAAGGATAAGATGGACTTAATCAGACAAAAGGAGACCAGAGACAACTGAAGCAAATGAGCAGAATAACACTTAGCTGTAGTGTGAGGATACGATAAGGTTTAGAATGGAGTAAGGAATTATGTAAAGTGGGGCTAGTAGATGCTTTTCTAATGTCCATGATCTCACTGGTCCTGGAAGCTGACTGGGTTTCCAGGACCAGGCATAGCTTCCCTCCTCTTGAGTGGGCCGTATGTACAATTAGACAACTGTTGGTTGTCACTAGACATGAGTGCCACTGACTGCACCTTTTGCACACCTTGCCATGGTGGTAATTGTCATAGTTCACAGGTGTTACAGCTGGGTAGGGCTGTTTAACAGCGTCCCTCCCTTGGCAGCTTGCATAGTATTTTCTGGAGCCATGGAAGCTAGACCACAGGAAAGAGACTTGCGGGTCAGATCCAGCTAGAATCTTCTGAGTCCTGTGTCTTAAGTGTGTAGTGCCTGCAGCAATAGGGATCCATTCTCAACCCTCCTAGGCAACACAGGGCTATGCCAATTATCTATATTGTTCTGGAAGTTGCTTGGCCTACACTGGCCAACCCTCTGAAAGGGTTCTTGTGTCTGGCACTGGACTTTTTGTCCTTTTTGTTGGTTTATGGTTCTTATGGGTAGCATTGGCAGCCCAAGAGGTTTAACTTCCTTTAAAATAGATGGATGATTCATAAATAGACAGACAGAATGTAGATGGTAGATAAATGATTAATAGATAGATAGATAGATAGATAGATAGATAGATAGATAGATAGACAGACATATTACCTTATATGTTCTGTATATAATTTTATGTAAATAAAAAATAATATAATTCCTTGAGGCCTATCAAATAACCTTGGTATTATTTGTCCCTTGTCTCCCTTTTCTATATTAATCTTCATCTCTCCTCCCTACTACAGCCTCCTCCTCATTATTCTCCCTCATCAAAAAAAAAATCATCTCTTTCAGCAAATGGAGGGTATACCACAGGAAACCACAACTGGATATAAGGTGGAGATTGATAGATTTAACCCAGCACCAACAGACATCTACATCACATCCATGACTCATGGAACATTTTGGAAGAAGGGATGGAAAAATTTTAAGTTTCAAAATACCAGGAAATCTATTGTGAAACAGTCTTTCCTAGAAATGGCTGCATAAATAGGACCAGAACAATAGCAATATCAATGGATACATTAACATGGAAGAGTGGAAAGTCTGAGGCCAACACCTAGACAGAGAACTAGCAGCAACTCTGGACGGCTGGGAGAAGAACTCATCCTTCCCAGCGATGAGCCCCTTACTGACTGTCCAACGTTGAATGCTCAGCTTGTAACCATACAAGCAAAACAACAAAAACAGATTCAGCAGGCTCTATTTAAATATATCTGTACACACACACAACACACTTAAAGGGCTATAACAAATACAATCAAAGAAATAGAGGCTATCAACTTGTTGAAGAAAGGGGAGAATTAAGGAGGAATAACTAGGAGGGGCTGGAAGGATTAAAGGGAAGAAGATATGATGTAATTCATTCTATTTCAATTAAAAATAAAATAAAATGAATAAATGAATGGAGCCATATGCACTAGGATGAGGGAGAAGAGCTCACTTCTCTGGATGGATAATTTCCTTTTGCAAAGATTTCCCAAGGACATAAAGCATCCAAGCCAGTGATCCTCAAATGTGCTCATCTTGAAGCTGTCTGGAGAGATAAAGCTCCCTGCAGGAAGGTGATTATGAACCCGACTTTGCCTGAAACTGTCTTAGCGTATGGCTGTTGTCCTGCATGCCCACAGTCAAATGATATAGGTCATCCTATCTACAGACTGTCTGCCATGCTCATTTGATTCACACACATATGTATATACACACGTGTACACACACATGTGGAGAGAGAAAGAGAGAGAGAGAGAGAGAGAGAGAGAGAGAGAGAGAGAGAGAGAGAGGACTACGTCCATACTTTTTCTTCATTTCTTAATAACTAAATTTTTGCCAGGCCTGAGAGCTCATATTGTAATACCAATACCAAGAAGGCTGAGGCAGAAGTATTGCCATGGGTTATGAGTTTAGAAGAGCCTACATAGTATATGCCATCTTGCGGAGGGGGAGGGGGACTACATAGGGAGATCCTGTCTAAAGAAAAAAAATGCAGTTTTCCACACCAGAGTATTACGACTATCCTTTAGCCTAACTTGCCTCATTGCACAGACAGGAGAGTTGGTGAAGAACCTCTCTTAGGTATTATTTATCTACTCACCCATTGCTGAATTGAAGGCTGAACCTTATGCATACCAGACAGATGCTCTACCACTGAGCTATGACCCCCGTCCAATTTTTTAATCTTTTAATTTAAAATAAGGGTTTTCCTACGTTACCCAGTCTGACCTTAAATTCCCTCTCACCCAAGTGGGCCTTTAATTTGGCCATTCTCCTGCCTCAGCCTCTCAAGAGGCTAGGATCACAAGCTTCTGCCACCAAGCCCATCCCTCTTGGAGCTTTGAGATGACTGGTCCTTGGGCAATAATTTGACCCGAAGCATAAGAACGGAACACTGCCTCTATGGTTCACTTTCTGACTCAAGGAGGAGAAAACAGTACCAGATTAAGAAAAAATTATGAGACTCTCTAGCTTCCTTGTGTGACGCCGCACTATGAGAACTGAATGAAGTGATCGGGTAAAGGTGTCTAGAAATTGCCTTCATGTCAGGAAAGTAGAGTGCAGGCCTTGGTAATGAGGACAATCTGTCATTTCCTACCTCGGAGGTGCCCGCCAACCTTAACTGCTGGCCCACTACATCGTTGCCAGACAATGCCAGACTAACCTGGCCACACCTGGATGACCCAAACTGCTGAGACTGCATGCTCCAAAGTCAAACCCAGAGCGACTGAAGCGACATCCTGCGGGCAGGATGTGCAAAGCTGCTGACTCACTTGCTAGAGTCCTATTCTGCTGGGCTTTTTCCTCTCCACCCATCCGGGAGCTCATCAAGGCCTGCACTTACTTTAAGGTGACTGATGCTTGTAACACAATTTTGTTAAAGATTCTCTTGAGATGGAAAAGATAAAGGAAAGTTTTACCAGAACTTATGTCATAGAACATGCCTGTCAGTCTGAAGCCTTCTGCTGTTTAAGCCGCCCTGCCTTCAAGCTGTGTGACTGTAGACATCACTTTACCGCTGAACCTTTCTTCAGCCTGAGCAGCTGAGCAAAAATTGGTCAAGGTTCCCCAGTTCTGAGATGCAGTTTTGGCAAATGAAACAGCCTATTGCATTAAATCAAGTTTTCAGTATGAAATGTTTGAACGAAACCATAAAACTTCTGTATTATTATCATTATTGTTACCCATGAGGAAGAGACAGCACATCTCAAAGTTCAGAAATTTATGTGGAAATACACGATTTTTTTTTCAAGTTTGCTGAATCTAATAGGACCGAGAGAGAATGATTCTGCCCAGAACACAGTTGTCAGACAAGGAACACTGATCTAACGTGTAAAATGACAAAGCAGTCTTCATTTCAACCCACACGGCTCATTAGGAAGGTTGTCCCCGATTCTCTTCCTCTCAATCTTCTCCAGGCCTTAAATACCACACCCTGCATCACAAATCCGCCCTGTATTCCACGGTAGGTCTGGAAACAATCTCAGTCTCCCCAAAATCACTGCTGCTCCCCACACCACCATCACCCAAACTTCGTGTCCTTTGCTTTCTTCATATTCTGAGCGAAGGTGGCTACGTGGCGTGGAGAGGGTTTTCCCAGAGCCACGCACAAACAACGCCTTAGGAGCTGGGACTGCGACCCATCACACTGAAGGCCGGCTACCCTTGATGAAATCTGTTCACTTTCTTCACCGTTTGGAGTCAATCGCTGTTTCATTACTTGTCCTGAAGAGGGAAGTCACCAGCCCTGTTGCCCCACTATGCTTACCTTGAGCAGCTGGTATCCTGGGAAATGCTTTGCAAGGGAAACAGGCGGAGGTAGGCTCTCAGTGGCAGTGAAAGCCCTGCTCTGGGGCCTGGGGAGCTGGCTCACCTGCGGCCACGCCCCCGCCTCCCACTCCGGCCCCGCCCACAGCGCGCTCTTACTCATAACTCTTGGCAGCCTGAACAAAATTGGAAGACGTGATTCAGGCCGAACTTGCTGTTGCAGTCTGCACAGCTTCAGATGGCCTGCGACAAGCTCGGGCAGGAAGAGTCTGTCGGTGGAGCCAGCCCTGCACTAAGTGAAAGCCTGTAAGACAGAATAAAGGCGGCCTACCTGCCGAGCCAGCAAGAGAAGGTGAATGGAGGAAAGTAAGAATAGAATAGGTGGTGATAGAAAAAACTACTACGAACTCCTAACTTGACCTCCATCTTTTCCACGTAGAGTGCCACTGCTCGTTCTCAAAACATGCATAGCGTTGCAGACAAAACATGCAATATCAAATTGATTAGCAGAAATAGTTTGATAGAATTGCAAAGTGGCTGTGTCCCAGTAGAGGACACAGCCTTGTTCTGAAACGTTTGGGGGGAAGCCTGATTTCACAAATCCAGATCTCCTGCAGCTCCTTGACGTGTGGGATACGTTCTTTTCCTACCCTGCTTTCTTGGAGGCACCCAAAAGTGAGCCAGCTGTTTTTCTGAAGCTATCACCTACGCTCCTTATTCTTACGGTAGTTTGTCTCACCATAACCTTTTCCTTCACCATCTTCCACACTGACTACTAGAATTTGAAAGATAAGGGCCAGCCTCACTCATTCCTTGGCATCTCCAGGATTTGTCATAAGCAGTCAATGAAAGATTGTTGACTGACTGAAGGAAGGTGACTTGATAGCTTCTCCTCTTCCTTATCCTGAGTCTTGTTATAATCAGAATCAAACTCATGAATGAAAATGAGTTCAACTCTGAAAGCACCATCCCGGGCGTCAGTGTAGCATGGACAGCAAGATCATAAAGACAGGGAAATGGCCAGTGCACCTCATAAAATACCCCAGTGTCTAGCTGTAGTGGGGGAAATGTGGATTCGAGGGCAAAGTCATGAGTTTGCAAACTGTCTCGACCACTGATTGTTGGAGAAATCCTAAACAAAGTGTTTAATCTCACTAGCCCTAGATTCTTCAGTTGTAAAGTGAAATATACAACATTCACATACATGTGGAAACTTTAGTAGTGTTTTGCTGGTTTCTCAGAATAAGCGCAGTGGCCCAGAACCTGGAATGGGATATTAACAGCTAATTTACCACGCTATTTGTTCAGCACTGGACTGCTCCCTCCTTGTTACTGCGATCCGAAGATCTTAAGAGATCTGAAATCTTAGTGCTTGGTCGTGTGCCCTTTTCCATGTCTGAATTCCCTCTGTTACATTCTTGTTAGCTCTTTGCCCATCCTGGAAGGAACTAATTCCACTGGAGGAGTTCAGCAGCTCCCTGGGAGCCTGAGCACAGCCTGGCTCTGATGGTTTGAAAGATAGAGGTGCCACATACTTAGGGATGTGCTGTGCTCCCTGTCCCTGAGGGGCTTCCAAATAACACAGTAGAGAGAGAAGACATGAGTGAGTTAAAGCACCTGACGGTGCACATCAACACACAGTCAGCTTGGCGTGTGACTGCCCACTCCAGTGTAGTTCACAGATGAGCACAAATCTTTCTGCTTTACAGTTGATGCTGGAGAGGCATCAAAGCAGGGCTGTTGGGCTTCAGAGGACCAGGAAGGTCTGGAAACAAGGAAGGAGCAGGGCATAATTAGACTGCAGGAGACAAATTAGACGGGCCTGGCAGCAAATGGCTAAACAGAGCTCTCCCCTACAAGAGCGCTCACTTGCTGAAGTGCTCTGGACAACGTATCCGAGTGTCTGTGTCTTCTAGCTGAAGCTGATGTTCATGGTAACAGCGCAACAAGCACAATTACTGACTGCAGAAAAGGTGATTCCCTTCATGAGTAGAAATGAAAATCTGGGTTTTATTTGACTGGAAAGAACTATTTCCGTGAGATATCTTTCTCTGTGGTGGTCATACATTTAAACATTATATTTCCCATTAGAAGACAGGAAGCTGAGAAGTGGGGAGGGATGGAGTTCTACAAGTGTCTCATATGTGTAAACTCACACATTTCCAAACTAGTCTCTAGAAAACACAACAGATCAATTACAGGAGAGAACGGCCTAGAGAGAATTCCTGCTGTTGGCGTGGCAATTCTGTCCCATCTCTCCCATGGGGCCCTCTTGCTAAGGGCCCTTTGGTTGATGAAATACGTCTCTCTTTTTGGTAGTGAGCCTAGCATGGGTCTGCACCAGGCCCTCTGCATACATACTGTGGTTCTTTAGCTTGGGGTTTTGGGAGGACTCCTAACAGTGGGGGTGCTTCTGGCCCTTTTACCTGCTCACAGGACCTTATTTCCTCCTACTGGGTTGCCTCGTCCAGCCTTGATATGAGGGTATATGCCCAGTCTTATTGCATCTTGTTATGTCGAGTTTGGTTGATATCCTTAGAAGGCCTGCTCTTTTCTGAAAGGAAACAGAGAAACAGTGAATCTGGGGGAGAGGGGAAGTTAAGAGGGACTGGGGGCAGTGGAATGAGGGGAAACTGTGGCCAGGGTGTAATACATGAGAGAAGAATAAATAAAATTAAGTAAATAAAAGCTAAGCCCTTTTCAAGTTTGTCAGACCTAATCAAGTCTCTAGGGCATCGAGACACCAAGAAGAAGACCTAGATATGGCTCTTAAGAATGCTGTAGCTTGGTTTTCAATGTCAAGTCTGACATCTATGATAATTATTATAGTATGAAAATACACCGCCCGGAGGGAAATCCTGGAAAGGACAATGTTGTCAGAGGAATGGGAGTGTTAAAAAAAATCCTATATTTTAATAGCAACATAAAACCATTTATGTGAAAACAGAAGACACAAAGAGGGGAAAACTAGAGGGTTATGGGAAGGAGAGGGGATTACAGTGAATATAGCCCCAGTACACACACTCTTGGAAGGCCGTCTTCACGAAACCCAGCGCTGTGTGACGGATGCATGCTAGTTTTGGGAAAGGGTTGCAGTTCAGTTCTTATTACAATGGATAACCCTTTGTCATGAGGCCTCATGAAAATCCAACTCTTGAGCAGTTTCAGTATTTTTAGCTCTTAATAAAATTTGAACCTGTAGGAAATAAAACAAACAGAACAAAAATCAAATTTGACAGCTTTCCATATACTCCATAACCCTATACTATATGATTAAGTCAGCGTGCACTGGCATGTGCTTTCTGCTGTTAAAATGTAACAGAGTTCACTGTTCCCGAGAACTCTGAATGGTCTCTGGCACGGTGGGTGTGGGATTAATGAGTGAGAAATCACCTCTTTTTGGAAGGGTATGCTGCATAGATACAACTATTTCAAACAATGACGAATCCCACCGTAAATTTGAAATCAGGTATTCCCTTAAAGCTTTCCCCAGTTCTCTTTATAGATTCCTAAGGCCACTTCATCTTATTCATCCAACCATGTTCCATTTCTTTAAGGAAAGGATATAATTGTTTGTAGAAAAATTTCTTTGCTCTATAACTCCCCAAACAATTCATAATGGTCTCTTTCTTGTAAAACACGCCATCATTTTACAGACCATGCACATCAAAACAGTGGGTGGGCTTTGGGGGTGGCGGGAAGGACTATGGCGTAAAGAATGAATTATCTATTCTTACTGCACTTTCATCATACGGCAATTTCCTTTAGTTCAACAAAAGTAGTCTGTGGACCAAATATTTAATAACCTTGGTGACTGTTTTGTTGGTGGTTTTTCTTGCCTATGGGTTTAAACATTACAGACATTATGACGGGATTATATACACAGCGTTCTGGCTGAGGAATGACTAGACACACCCAGCCACTCCCAGCAGCAACTCAAAGGAGCTTTGTTAGGACATGATCTCAGTGNTCTCTCTCTCTCTCTCTCTCTCTCTCTCTCTCTCTCTCTTCCTTTCCTTTATCTTTCCCCCTCCTTTTCTTTTCCTCTCTCTCTCTCTTCCAAGAAAAGAAGTTTCAGCCTTATGTTCTTAAGCACTCTACCAAGACACCCATAAACCAACAAGTGTTTGAACTCCACTGGTAAATATGATTCCCATTGGTTCCTATGACCTCTGCCCAGCAGGAAAGAGGAATGGTGTTAGCCTTACACTTTCCAACAGTTCACAGGAAGTTCACAAGGCTCATGCCTACTCACAGAAGACTATTATCTCTCTTTTTCATGAGAAGAAACTGAGCCAAGTAAGAAAAGGAAATAGTAATTGTCCTGAAGTTTATAACTAAGACAGAAAAATATATCTATAATACACAGACACACACACCTAGTTGGTTTTTATTTTTGTTTTATTTGTTACACTTTTTGAGATGGATGTCATATAATTCAGGTTGGCTGTGACATTCTATGTAACAGAGGCTGGTCTTGAACTCCTGATTATCCTGCCTTTACCTACTGGCTGCTGGGTTTACCAACATATGCCGCTCTGTTTGGCTAAGCTTTAGATCTCTAACTAATACATCCATACTCCATTGTGGGCAGTGATTTTTTTCCTTGCTGCATGAAGTATCTGTGCTGTTTCTATTAACAAGTCCTAGGTTTTTCCTGGGAGAAGAAATCTTACTTTGTAGCGAGTCCCAGAAAAAAATAAATGTATGAAAATTTTCACAAAGATTCATACATAAAACACAAACTGAAAATGGATAAAACAACAGCTAACTCAGCTCCTAAGCTTGACCTCCAGCTTCTCCCATCCTGCAATGAAAGCACTGGGAAGCAAGATTTGCCTCAAAATGACCCATGGCCATCATTAAGTTTACTAAGTTCAATGCAAAAGGTGTTTCTAAGTGATGAAAGGGCCACTCCCAGTGCCCTGTGTGAGAACGTATTAATAAGGACTTTTATACATACCTTTCAAGAGCTTCTTGCATAAGATTTTTTTGTTGTGTTTGTTTTGTTTTGCTTTGCTTATTGAGACAGGGTCTCTAGATGTAGCCCTGACTGTCCTAGAACTCACTATGTAGACCAGGCTGGCTTCCAACGCACAAAGATCTGCCTCCGAAGTGCTGGAATTAAAGGTGTGAGCCACCACTCCAGGCTTAGAAGGTTTATTTTTATAAAATTATCTAGATAAAGAAGAAAGCAGCACAGTGTGCCTGAGTAACTCCTTCCATGTCACAATATAGGGAAAGGTAGAAAGACATTGAAACCAGCACATCCTAACGAACACACAATGCTCTGTTGTGCAATTCTCTGGTCATTAATCTTAGATTTAAGGTGTCTATTTCTGAATTAATTGAAAGAAGGCCATTTTATTTTAAGGATCATTTCTTACCATGTGATGAAAGGATCAATTTTATGAGATAGAAAGTATAGAATTTCACAGATCTCAGAACTCTGATCTCAATAGCTGGAAAAGAAAGACATTTTTACAAAACATCAAAGTAATTTGTATCTAGAGAAGGTGTGAATCTGCTTATCTCAGACATGTCTCCATGAGAGACTTTTAGGTTAGAACTCTAAACCCTGGCTCTCCCTCCTGTCCAACACCCTCAATTTCCTCCATCCCGAGGGATTTTTTTACTTGCTTGAACTACAAGTGCTGAGGTCAGATACTTTTCTGGGCCCCATTCTGTAATTCTGCCCTCTAATTCATGTGCATATATTATTTGTGTTTGAGTCCAGTCTCTTCCTAAACCAAAACCACATGAAAGGGAGGGCCCAGAGTTTATGTGTTCTTAGGGCTTGGCTATACAGTGTCCTCAGAAAGGTTCATATTTGACAGCCTTCTTGAAAGACTGATTCTGATGGCTCTGGTGCTCCTTCCTCCTCAGTGGAGCTTCTAATAGTCACAAACGAATAGACTGCTGAGAGCTGCCAGGAACCATGGGAAGAAGGAACTGATTGGAGGCAATGGAGTGTGGGTGCATGCAATAAGTTTGTCTTGCTTTCCCCCTCTTCTTTTTCCTCTCTCTCTCTCTCTCTCTCTCTCTCTCTCTCTCTCTCTCTCTCTCTGTCTGTCTCTGTCTCCGCACCTCCTTTGTCTTGATATCTCTCTCTCTATAGGACAAATCATTTTAGACTGAAATTATAAGAGAAAAATATTTCTTTCCTTGGTAGAAGAGCTGGTTCAAGTGGTTAAGCAAATTGGCTGCTCTTCCAGACGACCCGGGTTTGATTCCTAACACCTAAATGGCAGCTCACAAGCACCTATATCTCTAGCTC